CCTTGGCGGTGCCRGTGATGGCATCGTGGTGCTGGAAGAGGCCCAGGTTGCGGCGGGCGTTGCTCAGCAGGGCGTAGTCGGAGAGCGGGTACCCGCTGTCCGTGCCGGCACGGCGGGCGTGGGCRAGCGCCAGGCTGTACAGGACCTCGGCCCCCCTGCGCAGGGACACCGTGACCGCGGGCCCTGCTGCAGCCCCGCAGCACCGGCGGTGCCCAAGGGCAGTGACGGGGCTTGTGCTCGGGCAGCCCTACAGGGCTCCGGGCCGGCACTGCTCCCGTTGTCCCGCGCATCCCCGTGCAGCCCTCACCGGAGATGAGCTTCCAGCACCCGGTCCAGGCTTTTGTAGAAGGGCCGCGAGGTGTAGTAGCCCGTCCAGTAGTGATCCTCCCGGTCCGCGTAGGAGAAGAAATCCCCGGTGAGCACTGGGAACCCCGGTGGCCTCATGCCCGGCACAATGCCCACCTTCTTGTAGAGGGCATCAAAGTAGTCGGAGAGCGTCCCAAACTGTGCCTGCAGGAGAGCCCGGAGCGTTGCGAGGAGTCCCTGCRTCTCCCACCCTCCCTTCCAGGGCTGCTCAGGCAACCTCCAGGCTTGGAGGTGGCCCCAGAGCACCGTGGCATGTGAAGAGCTGCTCCCTGCAGCCCCCCGGCTGCCCCTGCCCTCCCTGCACCTGCCTGCACGTGGAGGTTGGGCTGCGAGTTGAGGAAGTCGAAGATGCGCTGGTAGTTGAGGAACTGAGCGTCCCACTCCTGGGGCTTGTCGTAGCGGAAGTCGTCTCCCAGGGGCACCAGCAGCACCTTGCTGCGATACAGCTTGGACTTCTTGCGGTACTGGTCCAGCAGGAGCTGGGCCCTGCCAYGGGGAGCAACGAGGGTCCAGGATGAGGCCACGAGCAGGACTGGGGGGCTCAGAGCTGCCCGCCCTCCAGGCACTCACCGCTCGGCCACGTTGGCATCGGTGATGGCTCGAGGAGGCACCTTCCACGGGCAATTGATGCGGCCACCTGGCAGGCGCTTGAAGTCAAACTGGCAGCAGATCTTGGGGTCCGGCCCACAGGTGTGGGGCACATCGTAGCTATAGAAGGGCATCATGTGGCAGAAGATGTCGGTGCTGGAGTCCGGGTCTGCAGGACCAAGGAGAGGTGAGTACCGAAGACGGCCCTGCCCTGCCTGTCCCCTGGCAGGAAGCGGGCACGAGGCACCGGGCACGAGGCACATGAGAGCAGGGCGGCCGCCGGGGCAGAGCAGCCCGGACGCAGTCACTCTGGCCTGTTTGGAGCTCAGAGCACAGAAACAGCCTCATTGCAGGGCCAGGCACTGGCACTGCTGGGCAGACACCCCGGGGTTGTCCCCAGAGCAGAAACACGACCAGGTCTCCCAAGCAGACTCATCACCTCCTGGCACTCAGGACAGAGGTCGCAGCTTTTCCCCGCCGCCGCGGGGCCCCGGCAGATCCCCTCCCTGCAGCCACCCCCACACGGCCCCTCACCCCACGTCTGTCTCCACATGAACTCCAAGTTCTGGGTGGCGGCAAAGTGCTTCTTGATGGCGTAGTGCACGCGCTGGATGAGCATGCCCGTCAGGTTGGAGCGCTTTAGCAGGTAGGGCATGGTAGAGCTGTGGCCAAAGGGGTCGATGGCCCAGCCCGAGCGGGGCGTCACGCCTGGGGACACAGGCACCGCTCAGGCCTGAGCACCGGGCCTGGCTGCACGGGGGGCTCGTGCCAGGACCAGCGCTGGTGCCTCAGCCCGGCCCTGCATCCCACCCGCTCTCACCGATGTTCTTCTCCAGCCACTGGTGCCCCTCGATCAGCTGGTCGATCATGGCAAAGTAGTGGGAATTGGCCTCGTCAGGCATCACCCAGCCACCCGTCACCATCTCCAGCTGCCCATTCCCAACCAGCCTTCAAGGGGACACACAGGAGACACGATCAGGTCGGGTGAGCCCCAGCCAGCTCCAGAGCACGAAGCCGGTGGAGGCCCCGACCGCAGCCCCTCTCCACAGCAAGGAGCAGTCCCCGCTGCCCATGTCTGCGGGCCCAGGTGCCGCAATGACRCGGAGCAGCAGGCCTGGCGGGCGAGGGACTCCTGGCTGGCACCCAGCGCCTCCCCTCGAGCAGGGCCGCAGCACGAGTAGGCACCGTGCAGAGCCGGGCCCGGGCAGGCAGTCCTACCTCCGCASTGCAGCCCGCTTCTGCGCGCTGATGTTGTCCCACCACTTGGAGAAGAAGGARATCTCGGACCAGATGAAGCGCCGGCGCGGGTCCTCCTGCATCTTCAGCACCATGCTGTTGAGGATGTGCTGCGTCTGGTCGTAGTAGTACTTGTCAAAGGTCTTGATCCAACCTGTCGGCATAGGCGGGGCCGTCACGGAGCGGGACCTGACCCTGCCAAGGCCACGGCACAGAGCGGCCTGCACCTTGTGGGTGGGTGCACGTTGGTGCCCGCCAGCTCACCGGGGTCGTTGTGCGAGTGCGGTACCACGAACACCTGCAGGGGCTCAGCGTCCCACTCGCCGGGCTCGTAGGTGATGTCGAAGCCCTGCTTCCACACACCGCCATCCTGGTTGTCGAAGGGCAGCAGGGAGTACACGGCCAGCATCTGCAAAGCGGGCACAGGGCTCAGTGGGACAGACACGGGCAAAAGGGACCCTGATGCGCAGAACCGGCCCCATGGACAAGCCGGTCCGGCAGCACCCAACCAGCTCAGCAGAGCTGGGGCCCCGAGGAGCCCCTGCCCCAGCGCCAGCCCCAGGCCTGGATTGTGGCCTTGCACCTGCACATCTGGGCTCTGTGCCTTGCCCCCCAGGGCAAACTGGCAGTCCTGCGGCGAGACGGAGAGGAAGCTCGGGCGGCTCTCGGCGGGCAGCGCCCACGAGGCATTCGCGGGGTGGTAGGGCAGCGGTGGCTGCCCCTCCGCGTGGGCCGTGAGCTCCAGCACCGAGTCCTTGATGTGGCTGATGATCTCATGGTTCTCCTCCAGCAGCTGCTCCAGCTGCTCGATGCGGTTCTGCAGCACCGAGATCTGGCTCTGGAGGGGAGCGGGCGGTGAGCGCGGTGTCCCGGCGCGGCCCGGCCCCGCCGCCCCCGCTGCCTCACCCGTGGGAAGTTGCCCCCGCTCTGGTGGCGCGCGGGGTCATGCTGCACCCGGTCCAGCATCAGGTAGAGCGAGAAGACGGCCACGCAGAAGATGGCAGCTCCACACACCGTCACCTGCTTCTTCAGCTTCATCCCGGGGGCTGCGGGGACACATCAGCCGTGCGGGCTGCCACCAGCCATCGCCTCGCCTCGCACAGCGGCGCGGTGTACCGCGAAGCCACACACACGCGTCCCCGCGGCCACCAGAGCCCTGTGCTCACGGAGCACTGCCGCGTCCGCACGGTCACCCGCACAGGGACCGGGGCTCCACGGCTACGGACCCCCGTCCTTGTGCAGCGGTGCTCGTCCTGCCCGTGCCCATGCGGCTCCGGGACCCCCGGCCTCGTGCAGCAGGGCCACATCCTGTGTGGCCCCACACGGCAGCACCGTGTCCAGGGACCCACAGCCCCACACAGCAGCACCATATCCAGGGACCCGCGGCCCCGCACGGCAGCACCGTGTCCAGGGACCCGCGGCCCCGCACGGCAGCACCATGTCCGGGGACCCGCGGCCCCGCACGGCAGCACCATGTCCGGGGACCCGCGGCCCCGCACGGCAGCACCGTGTCCAGGGACCCACAGCCCCACACGGCAGCACCATGTCCGGGGACCCGCGGCCCCGCACGGCAGCACCGTGTCCAGGGACCCGCGGCCCCGCACGGCAGCACCGCGTGCCCATGTCCGCGGGCAGCAGCACCGTGTGCCCATGTCGTGGCTCCCACCCTGCCCGCAGCACCGCGTGCCCATGTCCCTGACCCTGCAGGCTCACGCGGTGCCGTGTCCCCATGTCCCGGCACCCACGGCCTTGCTCGCAGCACGGTGTGCCCATGTCCGCAGGCAGCAGCACCGTGTCCCCAGGCTGCTGTCCCCAGGCCCCTGCCCCCCCTTGCCCGCAGCCCCGCGTCCCGGCGCCGCCGCCGTTCCCGCCTCCCTCGCAGGGCTCACGCGGCCCGGTTGACCCGGCCCGGCGGCGGCGCGGGCAGCACGGGGCCCGCGGCTGCTCCGCAC